TTTTTCTGTCGTTTTCCTCTTTTCAAATTCTTGTCCTCTTGTCTTTAACTCTTCTTCCCCCCTCTTTACCCTGTCCTTTATCTTTATCTCTCTTTTCTCCATCTAACATAACTCAAAATTAGGAAACTCAAAAAAATGAAGAAAAAAAATCATATCACCCCAAACTTCAATTAAAATCAAATCTTGAATCAAACCACCATTTTTCCTCCTCCTCCTCCTCCTCCTCCGCCCCAGATCATTCTGACCCGCGACCTCCTTCCTCGCCCCCAGGTGATGAAAACCACCAAGCACCGACGGAGGAACAGAGTGGAGTCCGACGAAGGCCGCCGCTCCGTTCACAACTCCCTCGAGAGACAGAGAAGAGTGGACCTGCGCAACGCCTTCGAGTATCTCCGCCTGCTCGTACCTGAAACCAAGATCCTGGAGAAGGCGCCGAAGGTACAGATCCTCAAGAAGGCGGCCGTCTACTGCAAGCAGCTCCAACACACGGAAGAGCGTCTCCTCAGAGAAAAGGAGAAGTTGAAAAAACAGATGCAGTTTCTCCAACAGCGGAAGGCGGCGCACAGCAGCTGAGGCAGGCGTGTCGACCTTCCCCCTCCTGTACAGTTAGTTGTAAGCGTACGTGGATAAATTGTAAATACTGATCAAGGGAGCATTTTAAATTTACAGTTTACAATTTTTATATAAACAGCCTTTATTGTATATGTGTGATAATTTGAGTGCCTATCATTTTCTGCTAGCGTTGCACTTAATTAAAGGGTAAGTTCCTCTTTCTATTTAAGGTTGTCACAGTTTTGTGTGGCTCTGCATGTCTTTTTTTTATATATTATATATCGACGGTGATTACTATTGATACGTTAGGAGAGAGAGAGAGAGAGAGAGAGCAAAAAAGACGTAGGTGAGTGGATGTAGAGTATACAATACTTTTTAAGCACAACAAAAAAAGAAGACGTTTTATTTCCAAAAGCTTCCAAGGACAATTTTTTTGTTTTTGTTTTTGTAATCGTTATTAATCTTTTGGTGTGTGTTTATGAGGCGAAATTTAACGAGGGAGGGTAAAGAAAATGGCTTTTATTATCGTCTTTTTTTGTGTGTGTGTTAAAAAAAAAAATTGCAGTTCGCAGAGACCTGACTTAATTAAGGAAGTAGCATAATTTTTTTTTTCTTCATAACTGCTGATTCAGGTTCGATACCAAAGTATAAATGCGACGAAACACCCATCTGAAATGTATCCAAGAAGTTCACGTTAAGAAAAGAGAAGTAAGCGTTCGATCGAATGTTACCTGCCTCTCTTTTTTTTTTATTTAAATTATTATTAATTGTAATAATTATTATTAGAATTGTAAGCGTAAGGAAAACGTGAAACCGATGTGATAAGCCCAGAGTGTTGTGTATGTGTGTAATTTTTGAGCCTTTGAGGGGATTAAAAAAAAATTCTCTGAAGGTAAATATATCAATTTGGTTAATAACTCGGTTTGAATTTAAACATTTAGAAATATGAAAAAAACGAAGATGAGAGAAAGAGAGAGAGAGAAAAGAAAAGCTGATAGTATAACTACCAGACTTTTTTTTAAAGATTTTTTGTGTATGTGTAACAAAGGTATAAACGTAGTGTAACGATTTAGATAAAGAATATTTGGTCCTATGTAGGTTTAAGGCTAAAAAGGCTGCTCATAACCCCCTCGCCTCCCCCCCTCCCCCTCTTTCCTCTCCTCCCTCCCCCCCTCTTCCCCTTCCTCTCTCTCATTCTTCCCATTCCCTTCTTCCCTCCCCCCTCCCCCCAAATCGAGTGCCTGTCGGTATGATTCTCAAGAAAACACTTCATGGCAGACAAGAAAAAAGACATTTAAACAAAAACAAAACAAAAAAATACGAATTAGCTGTAGATGTAGTTAGTCTGCATGTATAATTATGTTGAACCTTGTGATGAAAACTCAATAAGGATTAGTTATTGGTCGTAGAAGTAAGAATAATTCCCCCCCAAAAAACAAAACAACAACAAGAGAAGGAAAATTGAAGGAGACGCCAATTTCAAAACAACATTTTTTTCCATCTTGGGAATGTCACCCATGAGTGAAAACTACAAAAGGGTTTATTTCGCCTGACACTATGTCATCGTAGTGTGCACAAACGGACTGTATTTACTAGCTTGTAATCATGATTCGAGTCCGATATCAAAGCCCGATTTTATATCCAAACAGTGGGACAAAATCAAGAAATATAGTTGTAGATAAGACATGAAGTAAGATTTTTTTTTTCGTTTGCTTGTTTTGTCAAACAAAACGAAATGGCAAAGGTAGGGGTCTGATTCGAGATGGAAGGCTGGGGTAAATGGGTAGACTTCCCCTCCCCTTGTCCCCCTCTCCAACCCCCTCCCCCAATGTAGAATAGCGTCTCCTAATGGTTCTCAAAATGCTCAATATTTTTATTTGTTTGTTTGGCCAATTCCTTATCTGAGACAGTTCTTTTGTAAGCTGTAGTTAACCCCCCTCTTATCATTGCTCAGTTTTGTACTTAAAAAAAAAAGTTAATGACGGTTTAAAATGTTTAAATAAAACATGTTTAAAAAATAAGGAAATCAGTAGACGGACAAATATATGCCAATAGTAGAAAGTGAACTCAAAATCAAAACACAATTTTTTTTTTATGTGTTTATGGGTATTTCAAACGCAAGTAGCATTTTTGTTGTTTAAATTACATTCTTTCGTTTTTTTGGTAAAGTCACACTCATTATCATGATTATTATTCGTGTAATTTTTGTTCTCATATAAAATACCTCATTGTGAAGACGCAATAACACTTTGCATTGTTTCTCTTCTGTAATTTTCAATAAGCCAATATATTTGTTTGTTTGTATTCCCAGTCTCAGATGAAAATGATTGACACCTTTCCTTCTGTTGAAGCCCCTATACTCCTCAAAAGTATTCTGCAGTCATGTGTGTGTGTGTCCGTGTGTGGGTGTGTGCACATGTGATGGATATACCCACACACATTCACACACTTTTTATGAAAATCCCGTTTCATCTGGACTAAAACACATACACATCTCTTGTAGTGTAAATAGACCTTTGTATTTTATTATGCATTTTTTTTTCTTCTTTTGCATTTGCTTGGCTCTGTGTTTACAATGTGTACTCATGTGCTCAGTTGAGTAACTTTAGGGAGAACTACTCACCCTTTTATTACTGAAAGAAAAGTATATTTTTTCACCTTTTCATTGTAGAATTTAGTACACGTGTTTTGGGGTGAGTAGTTTATTTGTGTATATCGTAGGCACATCAGTACTATATTGTTCCTTGAAAAATTTTTGTAAAGAAAACGAAACTTGAAAAAAACATTAGCCATGTGTTGTTTTTTTTATCATGAATGTACAAATTTTTGGCTTGTGTCGCTCCCTCAAAAAGGATTTTTTTTATGTTCACACGAAGCTTTCGCATTTTTTTCTTTTGTATTTGTCTAATTTCATTTTATTGTTATTGTTATTGTTATACAAGCAGGTGACGCTCGCCAGTGAACTACCCCAAATTTAGTAAAAAGGAAATGTAGTTATGATTTTTCTTTTTTCTTTTTATATTAATTTGGTTCTTCGCGAATTTAGTTCTGTAAGATTTTTTGCCATGTTTTAATTATAAGTCCAAAAATCCTATTCGATTTAATTTAGTGGAAATGTTTTTATGAAGAAATTTATTAATGTACTTTATTATTTGAAGTCATTTATATAGCACTGTTTTACAAATTGAAATATACGTACTATATATAAACATGTGACTGTTTTTTATCCTCCCACCTACTATGGTTTGATCAAGAATAAAAGTATATGTATCTAACCAGAAGAATGTACAGAATGTTTGAATTTTAATCAGATTTGAACTCTGATCTTAGAAAAAAGTGGATATGCATACACACACTTATTCATACACACAAACACACACACTCATTCATACACACAAACACACACACATATATACATACATATATATATATATATATATATATATATATATATATATATATATATACATTGTATGCATATACATATACATATATATACATACATACATATATATATAATATATATA